TCATGAAGCCATTTGATCCACCCACGCGTGTTACTTCTGTACTTGACCAGGAATTGTTTTTCAGTGCCATTATTAAAACTGATTGGTCTAGTGTTACGTCCTTATGCAATGTGGACCAGGCATTCAACAAGTTTTCTTCCCTCTTCCTTAAAGCCGTAGAAGAATGTACTAATACAGTCAAATGTAAAAAGAGGTACAAATATCCTAAGAACCCATGGTTATCTGAGCGACTGCTAAAAAGTATGCGTAAAAAAGATAACCTGTACAAAAAAGTAAAAAAAAAACAATCATTTAACACTGCTTTAGCTTCACGCTATAAAAGATACTCGAATGTTCTTTCGTGTCTCTTGAAAAATGCCAAGAAAAAAATACTATGATGACCAAATATCTAGCGAAAACAACTCTAAAAGACAATGGCAGCTCTTAAACAATTTTCTAAATCGATCAATACATAGTTCACCTTGGCGGAAAGTTATATATAAAGGCGTTACAAATGATAACCCTGAAAGTGTTGCTGATGCTTTCAGTAATTATTTTTTCGAAATTTTTAGTGAAAAACATAGCAGTTCTTGTTGTAATCTACAATGTTCTAATCATTCTTTTTTTCTTTTCTCCGTGAGCCCTGATGATGTTTCTACAGCAATCAAAAGTCTCAAAGAAACCGGCCCTGGTATAGATAAAATCTCAGCACGACACTTAAAACTTGCAGTTGACATTATTTCTGAACCACTTTCTATAATTATAAACCTTGCGTTCAAGCATGGCGGTTTCCCTACTTATCTAAAAATGGCTAAAGTCCTTCCGATCTTTAAAAAGGGCGACAAGCAATCTATTTCTAACTATCGCCCCATCTGTATTCTTTCTTCCCTGAGCAAAGTCATCGAAAAACTGTTAATGACTCGGCTAAACAAATACCTTAATAAATTTAATATACTGAAGCCCTGTCAATTTGGCTTTCGCGCTGGAAGTTCTACTAACCTTGCTATTCTTTCCCTATCAGACTTCATTAAACACTCCATAGACGCAGGATTTGTAGTAGGGTCAGTTTTCTTAGACTTCACAAAGGCATTCGATACCATTAATCATGTCATATTATCCAAGAAACTCGAATCATACGGTATTAAAGGTCCATCCCTCAAATTTTTAAACAGTTACCTCCTTAACAGAAAGCAAACTGTTTACATATCGGGCTCAATTTCTTCTACTAAAACAATAAATCAAGGGGTTCCTCAAGGGTCATTACTGGGTCCGTTACTTTTTTACATTACATTAATGACCTTCCTGACATTATACACATGGCTCACTGCGTTTTATATGCTGATGATACTACCATTTTCATTGCTGGTAGATGTACTGACAACGTCACTAATAAATTAAATGCTGTACTTTGTAGCGTGTCAAAATGGTGCCAGGAAAATTTCTTAATTATTAATCCAAATAAATCTAAGTTTATGGTTTTTATATCAGCTCAACTCAAGTTAACTTCCTCACCACAGCTCACAGTTGACTCTCATGTGATTAATATCAGCGACAGTGTATCTTTTCTTGGCGTTCACCTCGACGCTAATCTTAACTTCACTCTCCATATTGCTCACATTAGAAAAACGGCAGCATTCGGCATTCGCGCATTACTCAAAGCTGGCTCATATTTTTCTCATAAAGCACTTCTTTCACTTTACTTCGCATTCATTCATTCTCATATCCCTTATGGCATCGCATGCATCATGGGGGAATACTTACCAGTGTCATGTTTCATCCGTACAACATTTACAAAATTGAGCTATTCGTGCTATTTTTAACTGTTCTCGCGACCATAGCGCCGCTCCCTTTCTTCAATGCAATAAAATCTCAACTGTTAGCTATCTATTCAGGTTTATTATAATTATGTTTCTGCATAAACAAATAAGAAATCAACTTTCTGATAATTTCATTGATCATAAGATGTTAGTTAATACTAACACAACCATGTTTGCGACTAATAATAACTTTTTACTTCCTAAGGTTCGCACTAACTATGGTAAATCATCTTCTCTCTTCTGTACCATCACCATATGGAATAATTTGCCCACTTCGCTAAAATGCAAAGTTTCTTTATTTTCATTTAAAAACTCACTAAAAGAGTACCTGTTAAATAGTTGATCTATCTTCTTTGTGTTGTTTTATGCTGCATTATTTGTTTTTTTTTATTCCATGGCTTTTTGTTTTCATTCTGCTTTATATATTTTTGTTTCCACGATTCTAACAGCTGCTTGTGCTTTTATTATTTGTAATCATCACCGAGAATCCCGTTGCAGTCTTGTACTTTGGGACCCTCGTCTGTACATTTTACTTCCTGTAACATCCTTTTATGACATGATAATAAACTGATTGATTGATTGATTGATTGATCTGCATCGCGCAAAAAAAAAAAGAAACTATTGACAAGTCGTCTTACGTATAAATGAACTAATCCGAGCCTGCCATCTCGAACTTTTCTGAAGAGGCTTGTGCGGCTCTATCTATCCCAGACAGAGCTCCAAATAAAACTGAAAATACTTTATGTATTTTGTGTACGTATTATTGTGTAGTGCAAAGCCTGCATTACGTACCACACCTTGCTCAAGAGAAAAAGGTTGCACGTTGTGGCCCGTGCGAGTATCCAAATACCTCAACGTTTCCAATTTCTCATATAGTGGTTTTGGGACGTTGAACCCTACATATCAATCAATCAATCAATCAATCAACGTTTCCATTTTTCAACATCATTTCGCAATACCTGTGCTTCTTTTTTCCAACACGATTCACCATCGTGATAGAACTTCAATGGCACTCCTAAATACATCACTGATGTACTGATGTTTCCTGCCATTTAATGTTTAGAAATACTTTTGATGTGACGTCCCATTCCCCATGCCAGAAGCCAAACCACTTATCCGAGTTGACGGCATTACTACTCACTTGGCAAAAAGTTTTCATGGCATTCACAGAATGCATTATACTCCCATAATTTGTACGGAAAACTGCAATGTCGTCTGCGTATGCAAGGAGGCTAACCTTAGCTTTATGTAATTTAAAGTAGCGTATTGCACTGTTATTATATACACTGAAACAGAAAGGTTCAATAAAATACCAAAAGCAGGGGCGATAGCGGTCACTCCTGTCTCACTGACCGCAGCACAGGTAGACGCTCATGTGCATTTTTATTTATTAGCAATCTCGTCTTGCATTCTGTGTAAACCTTGAGCACTCCGTGGCTTATCAAACTGCCTACGTTAATGTGCTCAAGTAATGAAAGCAGCAAGTGAAGCGGCACGCGCTCAAGTGCCTTTTCGAGGTCAATTTGAAGCATAGCAGTCTTGAGATGCATAGCAACACAACTTTGTAGGATTGATCGTACTAGGTTCATGTTATTCAATATTTTTCTTCAGTTTATGACACAAGTTTGGTGGGACCCAATCAGTTTTGCCATAACTGTCTGGAGTCTTCTGGCGCATATTTTCATCGATATTTTATACTCTATATTATTTAGGCTAAGTGGTCTCCGTGCAGTAAGACTTCTTAACTTCGCGGGGTCTTCTGTTGTAGGTATAAGACAGTGTGGGCTGACAAGAACGACGGTTGAAGTCGTTTACACTTAAAAGCCTCGTTAAATACATCCTTCAATATAGGTGAAATTAAATCTTTGAATTCGTTGTACACTGCAGCCCTCAGGCCATCTGGTACTGGGTACCTACCATTGTTTACCTTTTGCTTCTTCAACTTCTCCATCTGGTATAGGCAATTCTAAAATTGCCTTTCTTTCGTCATCAAGTCTTGGCAATAATGAAATAAAATTACTATTAAAACGATCTGTGTGTACACTGTATGGTGTAAATAACTCTTTCGAAAAACGCACCGGCTATTGCTTCTTTCGTATGGTACCTCGTTCCTTTTCATTCTATTTCTGTTGTTTCACTTTTACAGGCATGTCTCTTCTGAGCTCCAAGAGGTCGTTTTCTTGGCAATTCTTCTGCTACCAAGTTTGCAGCTCGAGCTCGATTCAATGCTCCGCGATATCGTTCTTGGTCCATCAACTCTAGCTGCTGTTTAGCTCTGTTTATCTCCTCCGAAAATGTACGTGCCGGGGCACATTGTTCCGTCACTAACTGTTGCAAGCTTTCAGGCAAGCGCGCTTCAAGTTCTTTTTCAGCATGTCTCAGGATACTGGATCTCTCAAGTGTTTGAAGTGTAATGGTCTGTTTAAATAGTTCCCCCTTGTGTCCCCAGGATTGAAGTGTTCTATTTGTTAAGTGTTCTGTGGCCTCTGAAAATGCGATTAAACTCTTCATGTTTTTAAAAATTTTACATTAAATTTCCAGACGTCTCAAGAGAAATGTTTGTTATTCCTTTTATGTTCACTCACTGCGAACTTATGTTCACTCACTGTGGCTTTTGTAAAAACACGCCAGTGTTCAAGAATTGCAATTTGAACATGGACAGGTTATATGATGAAAATTCCAAAACATGAGTAAAATAATAAAAAAATGACTGGGGTAACTAGGTAGCGTATGTGAAGGCAAGGTGCTTGACAGCCACCTGCGTAAACACATTGAGAGCCTGACTGACTCATGCTGCAAAAGCCCTCAAAAGGCTTTCGGCGGCAGCCACAGGGAAAAGGAAAGTGAACACGGGGCCACTGACAAGCTCCCGGCAGGCCTCGGCAGAGAGGTGGACTTGACCAGCCAAAGGATGTCTGAACAGAATAAGGCAATATCCCCATGGGTGCAATCGCGCAACATGTGATCATTTCTTGCGTGGAGAACGTGGAGGCACCTCAATCTACATTTTTGCTTGAACATCACAGGCGGAAACCGAAAGGGAGAGATGCTGGAAAAAGAAGCACGAGTGCACGAACAGACGCACGAATAAAAAGTTAACGAAAAATATGGCGCCTGTCTACCTGTTAGCGGAGAAGGAAAGTCACGTGGGCAGACCCCGCCTCCCCGTATAAAAACGTAGGCCGCACTCTCCGCTTGAGGTCACTTGAAAACGGGTTTGGCGAGAGTGGGTCCCCAGTGCGGAAACGAGCGTCGTCGCCGTACTGCGCGGATGTGTGTGTGCCAGCACCGAGTCGACCAACGAGCTCGGACCACCTAAACGCCGGATTTTGCGTGCGCGAACCCCAACTCAAGAGCAACACTGTGTTCTTCGCAAGAGAACTCCGCACCACAACGCCAGGCGATACCCTGCCGAAGAACGAACATCGAAGGCTTCCACTGCCTCTAGGTAAGCAAAAGTTCTTTCTGCGGCCACTTGGGTGGCACCCGCGTTGTGCTCGCACTCTGTCTTGCGTTTCTGAATACGAAGACGCTCACATGCCGGGTTGATCTGTGCCACAAAATATACCGGTGTGACCAGTGTGATTCAGCATTGCCGACCACATCGTCTGGAGGTGTAACTCCCTGCCGCGAGATGCGGCAGCTGCTCGCTGCGAGCGCTGCGTCCCAGATTTCCTCAAGGGTTGCGAGAAAACCTTATGCGTGCGCGTAGCGTGGGACTGACTTCCAATGAATCGCTGTAGGACACACAGCCTGAGGGTCGCGGAATAACCCGATGGTACGGTTGATTCTGCTCGTCGCAGCGAATCCTGTACGTTACTTTCAGCTGAAGGAGGCGATTGCCTTGTTTTTTTTTTTGTTTTTTTTTCGTACATTTAGGGTCACCATACGAGCTTCATTGAAATTCATCTCTCTCACGCGGCCGACAGAGCTCGTCGGAAAACAGGTGATAACGTGCACATGCACCTAACGCGTGTTACAGTGTGCCACCACCAAACACGGGTAGCCTGTAAGTCGACTAAAGTGCATCAATTCGCCGTGGGCACTTCAAGATCTCAAAGACAACTCTCTGTACCCGCAGCAGTAGTATAGTGACTAAAGCACTTCGCTGCTGGGCCGCAGGTCATTCCGACATGGCGGCTAAGTTTTCGATGTAGGCGAAAGGGCTTGAGGCCCGTGTGCCTACATATAAATGCATAATAAACAACCTGGCTGGTCGGAATCTCCAAAGCCCTTCACTACGGCGTCTCTTCTAATCATATGGTGGTTTAGGGACGTTAAGCCCCAATAGTTATATTATTACAGATTCTCTGTACATGCCTGCTGTACCAGTAAATGATTGCAGTGCTTGAAGCACATGATTTCATGGTGTGCAATAGCAGATCATACTTACGTAACCACAAGTGCAAGATCACCGCGCACGCATTCTCATCAGTGATCAGGCGACGTTTTCTGGAACTTGAAACGGCATGATATTTTCGTCATATTTAGTGCTACAAATGAATAAACTTTTAATTTCGCTGTTGCCGCTTTATTTTTTGTTTTGTTTCTTTTAGCTACCCCCGAATTGATTGTATAATATTTGGCAGTAGTCGCCAATGCATTCTGTTGTGCTTCTTTTTTCTTGGTAGGGTTGATAAAACAACAATTTTTCTTGCCTTAATTTAATTTACGATGTTATGACTCTCACTTGTCTGAAACGAGTCCCCTATTACGATAATATCTTGGTTTCATCAGGGATTATTGATTCAGGCATTTCTACGCCCCTATCAGCGCTGTGTCATAAACCTCCGAGCTCTATCATGTCATATGGGCCTGTCACGCCGCTACTCACACAATAAAACACAGCACTAACCCTACAGTCACAATTCCCACGGCCGTGAAGCGAGAGGCTATGCTTTTCAACATGTGTCCGGGGGGGCAACTCTGGGTTGTAGAACTAGCCGAAGACGCCACCAGGAATGGAGACGTGGCCGCCGTGTGAGGATGGGGGCTTATGGAGGGGTCCGTCTCCCGGCCTCCGCCACCTTTCACCCTAGCAGGGACACTTTTCTTCTCAACCTTATAAGCGCATTTTATATGTATTTTTTAATCTTAATACCCGAAGAACGTAAAGAATTGTTAAGGTGGGACCGTAAGTGCTGATTGAATGAAGGGTGGTGGCCTGTAACTGTTAGCAGCCTGCATCACAAAGACCAAAGCAATGCATAATGAGACAATCGATGTTGTGTGGTAGGGGTATGCGCAGAAAAGCGATTCGTCAGCACAAACGACAAAAAAGGGCGGTACCTATTAAGACACATTTCATACAGTCAGCGTTGCACTTTCATCCACATACGTGTGTGCGCGCAGAGTTTTTTTGTGGAACAAGAGCGAAAGGTTCAAAATAAAGCACCTAACCGAGGGGAATAAAACCAACAATCTTTGGTTTGCGGCCACCCATTAGGTTATTTTTACATGCTGAATTAACATGAATTACATGAGTTACATGAATTAACAAGATCGATTCCGCAACACTTGTAATGTTCACTGCATACAAGAAAAAGAGCACTTCATCATGTTGTATAACGTTCATTTTTTTTGTGTACGCACGGGCTGCGGTGCGATTTTTCCAAATGCTTTAAGAAAGCAAAATAATTTTGCAACAAAACCACGTGACTGCGCTTGTGGGCTTCCGTGGAGCAGCGTTCTCAACCGCGTTTCTACCAAAATGATCATCGCACCAACTGTGTTGGAATATGCAGCCGTGATTCTAGGCGTCGACTTCTGAGGGTCTAACGTTTTATTTTTTTTAAGATGGCCACACAAGGAAGTGCTGCCGACCTTTATAATCTTTAGGTTCACGGCCAGCGTAATAGGTGGACGAAAAGACAGATGCATAGACAGATAGATAGATATTCTGTTTAGGATCAAGTATGAAATTGTCACTCTATTTGTTTTTTGCCATAAAAGTGATGTGACCGTGAAGAAAAAATTTTTCGTTGCGGTGCTGGGTCTCGGCCCACGACTTCACGCTTCAAATGATCTTGACTGATTGATTTTTGGGGTTTAACGTCCCAAGACCACGATATGATTATGAGAGACGCCGTAGTGAAGGGCTGCGGAAATTTCGACCACCTGGGGTTCTTCAACGTGCATCAATATCTGAGCACACGAGCCTACAACATTTCCGCCTCCATCGGAAATGCAGCCGCGATTCGATCCCGCGGCCTGAGGGTCAGTAGCCAAGTACGTTAGCCACTAGATCAACGTGGCGGGGCGACTTCACGCTTCAAAGGCAATTCACAACCAGTAGGCTACATAGCAATGCTTACTAAAGGTGAAAGTATTCATCAGAAGACATACGAACGCGCTGGACAGATGGGGACAGCAAATAAAGAGCATTTTCTATAAAAAGTTGACTTATTTTTGTTGTAGTGGAATATAAAAACCTGTGCAGGACAACATGAAGGAGACATAGAGGGTTGTACGCATCAGGAAATTTTCAGCTTCACGAAAACTTAGTGTCATACTCGCGTTTCGCTGTTAGTTGGGTGCGCCTACCATGTAGTGCGACGCCACTTCGGCGTGGTGGTTTCCGATGCTCATGAACTCTAAACAGAAGATTACAGACTCTCTGCGGCTTGTCACCCGAAAATACCGTTCTAAGCATGGCTGCAACAGACTGCGACAGAAGTTTGAGCTGAAGCGTCACTCACACAACTCAAGAAAGAGATTCTGCAGATTTTTTTAATTCGTTTTACTGCGGTTTTTATTTTCTACGAAAAGAAAAGGTTGCATGTCCCAGGCGCAGGAATGTATTGACCCGTGGGTCATATGCTTAGCCTGTTCTCTTCAATGGCTGGTCTGTGCAAGATAAATTACGGTGGCATACTCGAGAGATGTGCCATTTGTACCTTTGATTCCAGAAAAAGCTGTCTTGGCAACAGTGTTTGACGTTCAACTTTTTGTTGTTTATTCTTTACGTTGAAAAAGAAAGAGACCTGTCATTCATGTGGAAAAAGTAATGAATGGAAAATAAGAAATCGTTTCCACGCACCAGAAGTGTTGCGTGCCCACAAGAAAATTCTCATTTTTGTGGTAGTTGCATCGGACAGTTAGCCATTAGTATATTTGCACTTATCCTACCGTATTGTTTTTTCTTATATTGTTCTAATATTTCTTATAATTACTGCGCTTGCTCATTTTTAAACGCCAGTTTTTTGTTATTTCCTTAAAAATACACCGTGTTTGTATTTTACAAAATAAAACATTTTTAAAGATCCTATAAGAGTGACATCCCCTATTGTTTTTGCACACGTAGACTGCATGTAGGTGTAAGTACTTTGTCTTAATCAAAACGACATTGACGTGAGTAATTACCAAAAAGTCGTTCATTTTGAACGTGCCGTTGTTTATATTAAAAATTCGTGCTACATGATAATTTATGCATAACATTTGTTCAGAGATTGGGAAAGTTCGAGTCACCATAGAACTGCAACGGCCAAGTCGAAACCAACCGAGCATGTAGTGCGACCGTTCTACTATGTCCGACTTGTTTGAAGAGAGTGACAGATACAAATGGAGGTGCCACTTTACTTTTGTTTGTAGAAATCATGTGTTTCTTTCAAAGTGCGTGCAATAGAACCGCAACGACAGCATTTTCTTTAATTCAGAAACATAAAACTCCGAGACAGCAAACCTCCACGCTTTTTTCTCGCAGACAAGTCAAATAGTTTCTCACGCCTCTTTACGTTAGCGAAGAAACAGACAACCGCGACACATCGAACGCAAGCACTTTACTGAAGTATTCCAAAATGCTTACCGATGTTTCTGACCAGATACTTCTGCGTTCCTGTATCTATATGTATTCACTACTCTGTCACGTGTCGCTCAGTTCTATTCCGCACTTCCAGTGCGTCGGGCGTGATCAATTTATGTTTCGTTTCTTAATACGATTACGAATATTTTGAGTTAGGAGCAACATTTGTAATTGAAAATAAAGGTGTGCCTTAAAATGGCATGCACAATACCTTGTAATGTACACACCTTCGCTCTAGTCTATGTTATGAAAAATAATTATTGGTTTTTCTTTATTAAACGCGTCAGAGTCAATTTAGCGGCCGGCAAGCACTTGGACCTCAATATATAGTTATGCGAAAACGACAGAACACGTACACGCACACACACCAACGCGCCCATGAGCAGCACGTCTGTCATTTAGAAAAGCAAACCGCAAATCACCGGAAAAGTCGCCAACTGAGACCACATCTTGTATTCGGGTTGAATGTTTTGTAAGTGTGCGATCCGTGCAACTGACCAGCGATAGAGAGATCGCGTACCCACGTTTGTGTAGTGTACGTCTGTGCAAGCGTCTATGTGCCGTTTTGACTCGTTCCTTGTGTGTCGGTCACCAAGATAAACGAATGTGTGCCATTAGGTTGATCTTAATGCTCACTCAATAAAAAT